ATTAACGATATTTTTGAAAAAAATATCACCTATTAGCAATACATGACTGAAAATGTAATAATGTTATATAAATATTTTTTCTTTTTAGTATTGTAACAAATCATGACACCACGACTTTTATAGGCGACTCCTAGAATCATCTAGAATCTAGGGTATGAAGGTTCTATATGAGTGGGTTATGACGATTATGTCACTATTTACAGAAATAAAGCCTCTTATTTTACAGTTTTAATTGAGAGATCATTGTGCAAAGAAAAATTGGATATAAAAGTTGTAATTTTTCTGAGAGTGTATAATATATTTTGAAACCGTTGAATTTCGATTGTGTTGAAAACTTTTTTCATGCTCAAAAGGCATCATGAAGGCTTTAATAGAGTTTTGTTGAAAACTTTTATTTTTAATTTTATTTGTTTTATGCTAATTAAGACTAGGCCTTTTCTAATACTTTAGTTATAAATGGTAAAAAACTAATTGGTCTAGATCTATTTTAGGATAGGAGATCGAACAATTTTCCGATTGAGGAATTAAAATTATGTTATAGAATTACCATAAAAATAGAAAGTATAAGAGTCGGATAATTCCATTAAATCCATGGGTTTCCAAAAGGATTAAATTTTTCATGAGACATCTTGTAACTTAAGCAGTTATCAGATCAAAACCGGGGGTGTATTTTAAGGAAGTACATTTGTATAGTAGATTTAATTTAATTTAGTGTCATACTTTTTCTGTAACATATAAAAGTATTGTTGAATCTATATATTAAGTTACCTTAAAAGTAAAATCTACATTAAATGTAACGGGCTGTAGTTTAAATATTTTAGATATCTATTTTCAGAATTCTTGAGCTTTATTATCATCTGTTAAAGCAATGGAAGTGTCATTTTCGGTTATGGGTGTGTCGATAAAATATACACCGATAAAATCGTATAGATCAGGGGTCTTCAACCCCCGGCCCGCTCTGTCATAATATGCGGCTCGCGATCACATTTTAAAATTAGCATTTACATTTTCTAGTTCAATAAAACTATAACAGTTAAGCTATCGCTATCAGAAATATGTGATAGTATAAATTGAATTACCTACCAATATATAATTATTATTGTCTGTTGGTTCGTAATCGATTGTGGAACGAGCACAATATTCTCCTTTATGTGTAAAAATTTAAATTTCATACTTTTTCTTCGTAGTATTTGTACAATATGTCAGTGAGTAAAAAACGTAAAATCTCGGATGAAAAACGTATTTTTCAAGAAAAATGGTTCAATAGCAATTTTTTTAAATCATTAAATTTACTAATTTGTAATTTTAAATGTACCTACCTAATTTTAAAAATTGTAAGAATAAAACTGAATTTTTATATATAATACATATTTTTACTACGAATGCAAGATTTAAAAAAAATAATATGTGGCCAGCTATATAAAAAGGTTGAAGACCCCTGATATAGATCCAAACACACAATTTGAATTAAGGTAATACTTGAAATAACGGATATTTTTCCGTAGAAGTTGAGGCACTATAATACCCTTTATTTACAAGTTTTCTGTCTTTTATAAATTCGCTTTGCCAATTGAAACATGATTGTTGCTTACATGGTAGTTACCCGTATTTATTATTTTATAATTTTATATTTACATTATAAATTATTATATTCAAATGTTTTCTATTACTACATGAATATACAGTTTTTTTTTTTTTTTATGTATCTTATACTTTTTGTGACCTAGATTTATTGTTATGGATATTGCATAATACTACAGGTTGTAGGTATATTAAACTTGTACTGTAAATGTTAATCGATTTCTCTCCATATGTTGGAGATTTCCTCTCAAAGGAGGATGTATTAGTTAAATGTTGTACCAAAATGTCTGATTTGTATGGTGCAAGATGTTTTTTAAGTGAATAGGCCAATTTATTAAAAAGTGATTTATGGAAAGGTAAACGAAAGGTTTGGTATTATGCTATAGCTCTTTTTTTTTAGTAATTAATGAAGGTATGTTAGTAGTAAGAGATTATTATAAGTATTACCACTTTGTGGGTTTGATTGGGTTATCCTGGCCACTATTTAAATGATTAAGGTAAATTTATCAATTTTTAAAATGAAATTAAGGTGTTTCTTTTTATTTACCAAGTTATGCAACTTGATTAAATTTTTTAACGAAAAAAAAAGCTTAGGTGTCGTACGTGTTTTCGAAGAAGAGTTTACTGTTAGAAAAAACAATAAATGGTCGGAATTAAGATCTAAATAATTTCTGGAGTGCAGTATAAGTTACTAGGTACTTAAGCAATAAAAAAGTCAAGTATATCAGATTTTTACTTAGTAAAGTTGGCAAGTAAGCCGGATATAGCGGTGATAGTACTGAATATTTTTTGGAATTAGTATAATTGTAGAGGAGATTTCCTTGTGGGTTTCTAGTATGGTAGCCCCAGATTTGGTGTTTCCACCAATGAGACATCATTAATGTCTCCTCCAATTAAAATATTCGAAGTTGTTGTTGATAAATGGTCGTTAAACTGTAGGGGTGAGATATTATGCCTTGGGGGAGTATAAATTGAAACTATAAAATAAGTATATTATTTAACTTGAAGAAAATCGCATAAGACTGTAGGTATTAATTGGTAAAGTTTAATAGTGGAAAAAAGAAAAGTATAGATTTTGTTATGATGGCAATGATTGCAATACCACTGTGTGCCGTGCTGGATAATTTGACCCAAGAAGAGTACAATCTAGAACAGTGGTTCCCAACGGGTATGCCGTGAGCGCCCTTTAAATTTGCCGCAATAAATCTATAAATTGTTATATAAGTATGTATTTACCAGCTTATTATTAATATTCGAGATGAAAATTGATCGAACTAATCGTAGATACATATAATATTATTTATTGTAAGTATGCCCGTTGCAGCCGTCTCGGTCGATCGATTGTATTAATATATTTCACAATAAATAACTCTCTAATAGAGTCGACTGTAAATAGTATACATATATATATAAAATATGGTTCACATAATATATGGATTGATGTGCCACAAAAATTTTGTTGGAGATTAAGTGTGCCGCATTGTTAAAAATGTTGAAAACCACTGATCTAGAATATTAACATCGGAGTATTTTGTGAAGTGTGTCTCAGTTATTAAGGCAAAATCAATAAGTTTTTCGCATAAAATAGATTTGATTACGTTTATCTGGTGGTTTTTTAAGCTATTATTATTGAAAAGGATGACGGTTAGACACTTAGCAGTGAGTGAGTTAGCGAGTTATTTATAATTTCTATTGATCACGAGACATTAAATTAAAATATTTAAAAGAGCAAATAATGAACTTTTATATATTTTATTTATTTATAGATGCTCGGTTGATATAGAGTACTTAAATAGTAAATACATGAACGATGTTCGATTACTTTGAAAATCTAAGTGATATCACTTCATATATATATCAGTTTAAACAAAAAAATTGTTTAGTATATATAAGTATATACTAAACAATATATTATAATTCAAATAAAAAATGTATGATGATATATAAAAATCATAATTTATAAATTATATTTGAAATGAGAATAAAATGGATAATGTACGACCTTTGTGCTAATTTTTTTCCAACATATATTAAAGAACAAATTTTTATCACTTCTACCGGTACTACCAATGAAGAACATAATTATTATTTTAATTCTATATTGATAGTTAGAGATGTTCTGGGCAGAAAATTTATCAAAAACCGATTACTGAGTATTGACGAGTAAAATAAAATTAAATGAATTACAATGCGCTTCCTTATCATCGTCGTTTGAATTCATATTTTATATGGGTGATTGTAAACTCGGCCCATGTTTTTTTCAGGTAAAAATAATTTAAGTGTAAACTCGGTCCGGGGTTTTTGCAGGTAAAAATAATTTAGGTGTAAACTCGGCCCGGATAAAAATGTACATTTGTATAATTTTCTTATAATATTTTTGAGAACCATTTAGCATTACCCAGAGGACACCACGAGGAGGCGTTGTATATATTCCTTTTAACATACTGAATATCACTTACTTGTAAGTAGATGTAGATGTACTGTAGATCTTGCGCGTCAGGTACATTGTTTACTGTAAATATTATCGGGCCGAGATTACAACCTACCTTTTTTATTACTTGAAATTTCTGAACATTTGTAACCATGAAAAATATTTCACGACCCAATATTGGGTCACGACCCGGTATTGGGTCGCGACCCCTATGGTTTGGGAAACGCTAGGTTATACACGTTTCTCGGGATCATTTTTCCTTCAGAAATCGACAGGGTCTGCCATGTTTGGACATAATTTGTTTTGAGTATCTAAACAATCATTGTTTGTATCGTCATCTGAATAGAGACGAATATACGAGAATATGAATTTGAAACGTTTACGCGCGTTTTATTTAGTTATATATATATATATATATATATACCTATTATTATATTTTTACGATGTTATATCACCTCCTTAAACTGATTGTATATATGAGTAATATATGTACCTACTGCATACTTATATTTAATTTTATAAAAATAATAATTAATCGTAATTAAATATCTGCAAATTATCTGTAATAATATCACCGTTAGTTAAGAGTGTGTGGTTTAATAGATATTCAAAGTTTGCCATATGTTCACTTACTCACCACTCACCAGTTATTGTCCCTTATTTGTAGTCTAAGTATTTAATTGTTAAATTTAGAGGAACAGACGTTTTTTTTTAAGTATATTTTTTGTTAAACATAAAATACAAATTTTAAGAAAAACAACAAGCATTATAAAGTAATACATTTAGCTGTACAGCATACAGCAATTCATTTTTTTAGAACTTTCAAATAAACCTAATCTCGTGTTATTATCAATTACTTTTTACATTAAAAATATTACAAATTATTAAACATGAAAATTAATTTATATAATTTTTAAGTATCTTGTATATGTATCTACAAATATTTAATTTTATCAATTATCTTTTGTTCATGTTAACGTTATTTGTGTTCAAAACTACATTCCCCTTTTGCGAAAAATACCAACAATTCATTTATCTACGTGTATTACATGAAGTCTGAAAAAATTATTGTTTTACCACATTTACACAAGAATTTGATGAATTTGAGAAGAATTTTGAAGAGCAATCATTACGTTTTACGACAAGAGAAAAAAACTTCGTATTTCGTACGCATCGATACTATAACAAAATAAATTAATCTAGATTTTTACTTTCACTAAAACAATAATTATAATAGATATTAACGATCATTCGGTTATATAACGGCTTAGATTTCTTGCAGCGCACATTTCTTCATAATTTCCATATTTCTTCTGGTCATCGCTGTGTGTGGATAATCGATGAAGTGCAACATCGTTAAGAATGGGTGTGATAGCGCGTCCGCTGCAGTTATCCTATCGTACGGCATTACCTTCAGCATTTTGTATACTAAATCCACAAACCATGCAATATCCTTGGTTTTTTGTGGATCACGTAGTCGATCGTATGTACCCATTTTGAAATCCTGTGAATTAAAACAAAAATGACATGCAGAATTAAAGGAAATGAATTAAAAGGATGAAAGAAGAAAAATTATCAAAGGAAAAGATAAAAATAGATTGTGTTTGCGTTTAGTGTGTATTATGTTGTTACTGTAAACTATTAAATTTTCTGTCCACTGTAATTGTAATATGCCCATGTTTAGTTGAATACCTTATGTTTTCATTCAAATAACCGTATATTTTTCTACTATACCAGCTACTGTATGCGTACGGGTTTCAATTTAAAATTACCATGTTGAAATATTAACGAGTGTAAAATGTACAGGGAACCTTATTAAGTATACCTAATCATTTTTAAATAATTTTTTCAATTATTTATATAATGTCACATAAATATTTATTAGATTTACAGTATATTTGAACTTAATCAATATATATCAAACGATACTTTTTTAATGTACCACATAAATGTCCTAAGAAAATTATTTTAGATATACTTATCGAATAATAATCTAATAAACATAATTGATTTATAAATTATAATAGATAATGTGCATATTCAAAAATTTTAAAATTTTGTCGACTTACGCTATTTTGTGTTTGATGATTTCAAAGTGTTATCTGTTATAATTCCTGAATTTTCTATGCTACAAAATCATACTATAAAATTGATGTTTATATTATTTACTATTTTTTTCGTGTGAAAAACTCACCTCTGTCTTCCCTTTCTTGACCCAGATGATCCCTAAATAGGTGCCCGGCCAAAGAAACGGCTATATTGTGTTTATAATACTTTAGAGGTACCATATCACGTAGGCGTAGTATTATAACGTCATCCTCAGCTTTGAAACCCAGTCAACTTCGTAGAAACAATCTGAAGCGTAGTAGTTCCGTTACAGACGGGGTATAGATGATGGACACATTATAATAGTACACGGTGACGGAGAATAATACTTGACGAACGATCAACAATATTACCCCTGGTAGAATATTTATCATGTAAGCCCAACAACCCGTCATGCGTATCCCCCGTAAAACAATTAAAAAAATACCACAACATGTATGAAAATAGTATTATAACAAGACTTACGTAAAAATATTGAGAAGTAAATGAAAGTAATTGTGACTGCGTTGTCAGCACATATTGTTCGTTTTTTCGGTGAAAAATATAAAATACAAATCATTCGATTGTATTATATAAATGCTTAGTGAGTTGTGCAAATGACGTTGTAAATATTTTTTCACAAAAAAAATTAATATAATTTTTTATACATCGACGGAGAATAGTGATAATAGCAACAATAGAATGATATAAAGTATTTAGGTTGGAGGATAGTAAAAAAGAAATAGTTCAAAAAATAATAATTGTTAAAAGGTTAAGTTCATGATACATTTCAAATTTATTTAGTAATTGCTACAAAATGAAAAAGAATGATACTTGTAAAAACTATTACAACTTTAATAATGATAACATCTTTATCTCTTGTACGTTTACGTTTGAATTCGAGTCATAGAAAACAATGCAAATATATATAAAATCTATGTAATAATTACAACATAACCACATACACACTTATAAGTCATATACTTCACAAATGAACGGTTCTATTAAATATTTTATTGGATTTGAGTTAATGGGGAACTTCATTTGAGCACTTGATATTTAAAATAATTTGTCACTTTATTAATATTTATTATACTATGTTACTCGTACAAAAAGTAATTGTAAAGTATTGTTTAAAAATGTTGAAAGGAGAGAGAGGTCACATTGATAAAGACTTTAAATAAATATTTTTATTATCCAACTTTAATAAATTAAATAACTATGTAATTCTGATATTATGATATATTTGTCATGTATGACAAAATTAAACATAGTGAGAACCCTCATATAAAAATAAAATACATATTAAAACAAGTACATAAATGTTTTTTTATTAAATTATATTTTAAAGATTTGTAAATACTCTAAAATAATATTCCCTGAAACCATTTGAAATAATCTTTTTATTTATGTATTTATATATACATATATACTCGTATATATATATATATGTGTATGCTTAAACACAATTTTGAAATGATTTGTCCTATACTGCTAACTTAAAATAACTTGATAATATGGACCATCACTTTTTTAACGTGTGAATTTTTTCTCAAGCAATCAAGATTAGATTATCGTCAGGTGGATTTTTTTTTGGGGGGAGGGTCGACATGGCGATTGCCCCCCCCTTTTGGTCTTTTTTTTTACAGATTTATTTAATATTTTTTATATTGTTATATATAATAATTTTATAAATACCTATAAATTAAGTATATATTTGTATAAGAGGATGTTTCATGATAATAAATAATCACGGTTCTATATACGACCAAGCGACCGAGCTATAACCATTGCTTTTATAATATACAGATAAGCCGAGATATAGGAATATTTGGAATCCGTATTTTAAGATTTATTTAATTCCTATAAACCATTTCTATAACCAAACGTAGATTGTGTTATCAATAACTTATCACATAACGAAATACTTCGTGTACCGTATTATGTGTACTACACACATAAAGACATTATTGTAAATATAGAAGAAGTCATTAATAGGTTTTTAATAGGTTTGCGAATGAAAAAAAAGATATGATAAATTATTATTGTAATTAATATTTTTGAATAGTGAATTTTTATAGATACTTAAATAAAGATACCTAGTCCATTAATTGTATTAAGCGTTGTACTTATTTTTCAATAAATTGGTTAAATAACGGTCAAGTATTCATGTGCTCTATATATCACTCATAAATATTCCTATTCGCCCCCCCCTCCCTTAACCAGGCTTCAGATTTGCCCCTGTCACCATGATTATAATAATTTAAATGTATTTTTTATTGTATTAAATAGATTCATATATTATATCAATACAGAACAATTGAAGTGGTTGAAATCGCTATAAACTTACAACATAACGATACTTATTGTTTCGGTAAAATACATTAATTGTTTTTTCCCATTTCCCTAGAGATTTTAATTCAAACTTTTTGTGACCAGAAAGACATTACTATATAGCTGTGCTAAATACATATTTACTAACATACTTTAATTGGTTTTATATGGGTAAATTTTTTACTAACAAGAAAAACGTTATACCTATTTCGATAGTTGTATGTTAAAAAAAAAAAACAATATTTGCGCTGATGCTATAACAGGTCTTTGATGACGACTGAAGTCTATGAATAAAATGAATCCATCACCGGGTTTTATAAATTCACCATCGGTTTTTCGATAATTTTTAATCAAAATATATAATTATCTTATTTTATTAATTATATTAATTATCTTTGATCTGTAAATAAATACAAGCCTTATGATCTCCGATGTCCATTGTAATGAACAATTATTATAACTTCGTTACTGCCCAAGTTTATTTTTAATTTTGTACCATTACGTATATTATTAAGACCCACCATTTTTTTTTTTTTTTTTTAATATCATCATTTTGTAAGATTAACCTTAAGCTAGTGATCATTTGGAGGCGAAAACATATGCGTGATTACTTTTATCAGATATTACATAACGGTACGAATACGTATTTAATTATTTCCATTTCAATGGACAATTAGTTAATGATACAAAGTAAAAAACAAATATTAAAAAATAGTAAATTAAAACGATAAAAATGTTCATTATAATGGACATTGGGTCTTTAGTACTACGAACATTGTAAATAGGTAGGGCATTAATAAATATAAAAAAAATGTCCGTTAAAATTTATTTGGACTCGAAGAACTACAGAGCTCTATTCTAATTGGGTTTTAGGAGGATAGTGTGTTTTTAGTGGGATGTCTAATTAAAAAAATAATTATTTCATAGGAACAAAATATAAACGCGTGTGGAGGTACATCATCGTTTAATCTAACTGTGCAATTAAAAAAAAGAACAAATAATCGTACTTGAATTAAATAATATATTTTCGAAAATGCGATCAGAGCTAGTTAAAACCAGATGGCTTTAAATTAATGTAACCACGATGAAAACATACAGTTGAAAAAATGTGTTGATGACTACAAATAACTATGACTATTGATATCGGTACAAATGTGTTTAACTGACAAACATGCTGAACGTGTAGTGTTGGTAATTAAAACAATTATATTCATACAATGTAAAACGATGGTTAATTATCATAACATTTAATATCGTTTTGAAAATTGCCTAATATTATTGTAACTCAACGCGACCATACTATGATTAGGTTCAGAATAACTTTTTATAAGGCAAAATCTCTTAAATTAATTTGAAATATATAGTTATTAATATATATATTAATCAATTAACAATTAAAAATAATTTTAAAATGTATACTTGTCTATATATATTCCATTAGTTTAGGTAATTAATTTAATACTTGAATGTAGTATTATATTAAATGAAAATTCAAATAAGCAAAACATATAAAACAATAAAATATGTACAAATTTTTTCTTTTAAAAGTATGTATTTTTACAATATTATAAAACGAATTTTGAATTAATAAATAAAAATCTTGTTTTTAACAACAATGTAGCGTGTTTGAGATTTTTTTTTTAAATTACTTAGAGATTCCAAAGCGTACCTTACAATCCGTGTTCAATTTCTAATCTAAAGAAGTGTTGCACGAAAACTTCTTACTGTAAAAGAAAAAGGCAAAATCTTTTTTTCTAAAAATAAAAACGCGCTTTGTAGCCAATATTCCAATACAGCCTCTTTATCACGTTTTTCCAGTATCAAATGTAATGTACGTTTTTTGTTTATTACGATTTTCTTTTTCGAGATAAAAATAGTTTAGAGATTTTCTATAGCCCTATTCTTAGCAATTTACAAATTATTTTATATTTTCGTCATATACTTTCATATTAGCGCGTATGAAAGTAACGAATCCTAATATTTTAATTAATATTTTTCACAAAACTATTTATTTTTGCTATGAAAACAAAATTATATGTTGTACGAAAACGTTTACTTTTTTCTCCGTGGTATTTGGGTACCATGTTCTTTTTAAAACTATATTATTATTGACACTCAGAGATGAGTAATGTGATAACTTTAATATTAAGTGCAATAAAAATAATTAAAAAAAATAATCGTCCAAATAATATTGTGTAGTAACTAAAAAGTTAATGACACAAAGTATATATATTTAATTTTTTTTTCATTTAATTAAATATATAATATTATATATATAGGTACTACTATTTTTTACCACTTTTTTTTTAAGTTATAAAAATGAAAATCAATGTAAAAACATACCTAAAGTATAATACATTCATCATAATAGTATCAAAATTATACTTATTGAAAAAAAGATTAGGTATTTGAACTAACATTTTTTAAGTATAAGACTTTATTTCATTTTCATGACATATATTATTTTTTAATTTTATATTATTTATGCAATTTATAAACTACCCCTTTATATGTTCATTATTTTATTTTTTTTAATTTATTTTATTAGATCAACCATTATTATGTAACCCCAAAACTAATGTCAACATTTAACATACAACAATATACAAATATTTACAAATGTTTGCTGTTTAATCGACTTACCTGGAAACGAATCCAACCAACAGAGGGTTTAATTTCTTCTCTCACCTTTTGTTTCTCTGTGATGGATATCAAGAAATCGGGAACGTCCAGCGTACGGATGAACAATTTGACCAACTGTTCTTCTTTGGTCGCGTCGAACAATTTAGCGCCTGTGATTATTTCTGGCATGATGCACCCCAATGACCACAGATCCAGACCATGGCCCAGGTTGCCCCGGAAGCACACTTCCGACGCGCGGTATGGGATTGCTTGAATTTTCTGGTTGTACATAGTGTGCGCATCCTTTGCATAAAACGCCCAACCGAAATCGATTATTTTCACCCGGTGATTGTTTACTGTGCCCGGGCAAAACATTATATTATCCGGCTTGAGATCAGCATGCACAATCCCCATGACTTTCAGACCTGCCAAACCTTGTAAAGGAAAAAACGTATATAACTTATATATTAATTAAATATATATAATATTCATGTTGCCAAGTTAGATCTTATAATTTTCTCTTTTATGTGTTTTCGAGTATAATTTGTGGTCATTAATTATGTGATTCCAATTTTTTTACAGTTATTTATTAGTCTCTGTGTGTCTTAAACTTTATTAAAATATGATAATTGAATCTATGGCTGTCGTTGGTTTTTAATTTTAAAATTAAAAATTAAACAAGATGAAACCACTAAAGTACAATTCTGTTAATATTACCATTAATCAGATATTTAATAAAATCAATTTTATTAAATTTAATAAGTAAAAATTTTGTAAAACAAGACGTAAATAACTAGTAGTTACTATAACTAAATAATTTACGATATTAAATAAAAACAAATATTAAAAAAAGCGTGAATTAAGTCTTATTATTTATATATACAGTTAACCAATAAAACGAAACGTCATGCTACTACTAAAAGAATCACATTATATATACACCCTTATATTTAAATATCTGTTGAGCTTATCGTATAATTATTATTAGTTATAACTTGATGAGAATAGTTTTCATTGTAATCTAGTCGGAAGAACTAGATAAAAACTCAGTGCATTTTTAAAATAATTATTATTTCAAATATTTTTTATTACTTAAATTAATTTATAAATACTAATCCAATAATCAGATTTACATAATTATAGTGTTATACAATGCCAAAATAATAACAAAATGTTTTATATCAACTAAGTTAATAAAAAGTAAACATATTTATAATGTTTATACTAGTCAGTGTCCTTATATATTGGTAGTCACTGGTTTGATGTACATAGAAAATATTTTAAAGGACTTTTTAACAACATTTTAATTTTTAAAAATGATTAATTAAAAGTATTTTAAGATATTTTTTAATCACCAGTATAAACTTTATCCCAATGAAGATAACTATTTTTCAAATATAAACTTTCATCCCTCTATGTATGCACTCTATCTGATAGATGTGGTCATTAACTATCTAATTCAAATTGTTTTATTTTCATCACTTATCTAGTAACTGCATTCATCGGTAACTTGATAACTTTTTGTTTATATAAACTTCATAAAAATGTAACAGATTCCAATTAGTTTTAAAAAAGATCACCTTGTGTTGAAATTAAAAAAAACATTTTGTAGTTCCTATTTAATTACGTTTAAGCTACGTTTGAATTATATCTCTAATTTTATTTGAAACAGTTAGTTATATGTTATTTTTATTAGCTATTAATTTAAACTAATAATATCTTAATAATTATGGTCATTATATGTTACAATTATTCATTTAATAAAGGCAATTTCAATAAAGTACGTAATTAGAGAAAAAATTAAAATTAACAATAATAATAAAAATAATAATAATAATAATAATAATAATAACGTAAATGTGTATTACATATAAATAGTTTGAAAATGCATAAGATAATAGATAATAATATGAAATAACTTCCGAAGAGATGATTATAATTGGGTTTTATTGGGTGATAGAGTAAGAAGAGAAAAGAAGTGTTTAATAATTTTTGTAAATTTGGAGGTAAAGGAATTTAATAATTTTTTAATATTAAGACACTGAGTATGAATTTTTCGATAGAAAGTTACATTAAAGTGATTACAGGATGGATTAGCGGAGGTGACATTAAAAGTAGGCTTAGAAGAATAATTTTTTATTAAAGAAGTAGTTGTGAGAGGATCTCGCCTAATTGGTTGAACAAAACGTTTTTTATACTCTTGACAGCCTTTATAATTGGCAGAGTAACTACCATCACATAAGACACATCTGGTAGAAGAATCACGTAGTTTGTTCCGGAAACTGAGAAGCGGTCTACCCAACATATAATGCAACGTAGATCATGGTGGCATTTTCTGGTATGTTAGTAAAACTGACATATGTGACACTGTGGTCACCTTTTAGGCGGGTGTAGTTCTTCAACTACTACTTTTGCGTTAAAAATAAATGCAAGCTCGCATATATCCGAATTTTTGGTTACTTTTCTTATAACGACAAAAAAACGTGGCATTGGTAATTTATTTAAAAATCATTTAATGTTATGTAGATTGATGACATGGTATCCTAAATCTGAGAGGATGATAATGATGTCATAATGTGCGGTATCCCATCATGTGATATGAATGGGCGGAGATTTCGAATAACAACCCGTAACGGGCAAATATCATTTGATTGGTAAGAATGGGAACTGACGAACATTTTCATTAAATGAGATAAAAGTGAGTTATGAGTATAATGCTCATAAAAACGCGTGCAAACGATAACACATGAGGATGTAGATTTACAGACAAAATTTGTATCGTAAAGTAAAAACATAAAATTAGAGACAAAAGCGGAAATATTACTCATATTTTTTTATGTAAACTGAGAATTGTTTCGGTATTATAGTTAAGAAATTTGTTAGAAGGTGTATTATTGTAAACGTCATCACGTATAGCGAAAACAAAAAACCGATTTGGGCTTATGAATAGTTTGGTTTTCTTATATTCTACCTTGGGTGTAAGAGAAAATGTAAAGAGATTTATTTCGTTTAATCTTGTTTTTTTGTCTGTAGGGGAGGTCACCTCAGGATTTTCATTTATGATGAAATGTTTGTTTTTTTTTTGAGACGATATAATTACGTAAGTAATATGAATTACGGGATAAGCCGTGAAGGTAAACGGTGACTAGATAAGAGTTATTGAATAGCTATCAAAATAAGCGTGCATACTTGACGGCAATCAAAACCGAACTAACAGTTAATTATATTACTTATTCATGAGTAGTAGTTAAACAATTAGTCTTCATAGGTATAATTTGTTTTTTACACACAATATTATGCAGTTGAATTCGTCATATTTCTCCGCATTTCGACTTTTTATTATTCGGAATAAAAATCTTTATCGACCAGCGACCCAACGTTACCGCCTCGAGTTGATATTTCTCGTCAACATTTGCCCATCCTTTTGCGCATCGCATATACGTATACGTACCTTGTGCGATTTGCCTGACGATTAGTCGGCACACGGACAGCGGTAACGTCCCTACATTACACATCACTGCGTGCAAGGTGGCGCCAAGCATTTCCATGACAAAACAAATGACGCCCGTGTTCAGTTGGATCACGTCCCTCAGGTCAACGTATCGCTCCCGCACCGGACTGCTCTTCAACCTGTTCAATAGGCTCAGCTCTTGCATGTACAGGCTACAGCGGAGGTGCTCTTCCATGTTCACACTGTTCAATACCTTGATCACTACCGCGTTGCCGGTGGCTGTATCTGTAGCCCGATACACCCGAGAGAAACGGCCCGCTCCGATCAGATTGTGTACAGAGTACTCGGCACTCTTAGACCGAATCGTTTTGTCCCGCAGAGCGTCTTTGTCCATATTCAATTACACTCAATCTAGTAGCACGAGACAAAATGTTTAAAGGGTATAGTGAATTCGTATTACGATATTCGGATGTATAAATCTAGAAATTTGAAATCCGAATCATCCCGATAAACAGAACCATTAATATTTTGTTGAATGATACTGTTAATGCGAAATATTGTAAAAATATTTTATTGCAAAATAATAACAGTAATTAATAAATCGGATCAATAATATAATTCAGATTGCATTCAATGAACCCTACGATATACCTGTACATTTTATGAGCATTTACAATCAACTGAGATATGCTTTAAGTTTGATTTCAAATTATAGAATCTAACGTAGCCAAATATACTGATATTTCTCAATGATATCTAAAATTATATGACGTATACTTATATCGCATACATATCTTTTTTTATTAATAAATCATGCAGATTTACACAAGATGAATAATAAATAAAAGGAAAATACATTTTACAAATATTAATATTGTACTTAAATGTGAAATCAATTTATATTTTCCTTATTTTTTTACATAAACTATTCATTTTCTTACATAAAATCAATTGTCAAAATATTTAATACAAAAAAAAGTAACAGTCATAATTTCATCAACAATAATAACGTATATTTTCAGAACAGAAACCATTCCATATATTATTGTAGTACGTTATTAGAATACCAAGACTTTTGTATGGATTTTTTTTGTAAACGAATCAAATCAATCTCAGTTTTTTTTAACATACCTATATAGTATATGTATACTGCTCATGAAGGGAATCAATTGTTATTGTATGAATATTACAGTTTCTACTACGTTGATTTGATTGAAAGTTATTTTCAGTGCACGTGTTTTTTCATAATATAAAGGAACCAAAAAAGTATGTCATGCATTTTTTTTTTTTTTATTTCAAATACTAAGATATAATACTTTCGGGATTTATTGAAATAAAATATCTTATTAAGGTCTCATTAGCATTTGAAAAAAAGACATATTTGTTTTTAAGCATGTTGACAAATTGAACATGAAATATTGAAAAATTAAACAAAATAAAATTATTATTAAAATATTTAATTGAGTGTTAAAATTCAAGTTAAATTATTTTAATATTTTCACAACATTAAAAAAAGTTATTTATAATTATAATGGAGATATATATGTTCAAAAAAAAATAATATGATAGCATATTAAAAATGTTCAATCTAAATGGATATTGTGGGCCATAAAAACTATTTTTGTTTAATATTTTTTTTTAAATAATGTGTAATGATAAATTTTATAGTTAAGCATATATTAAGTTTAGTTAAGTATAATGTATTAATGGTAAGAAAGCAATATACTCACAGAATAACACAAAAATAACACGAATGCCGTTTTCAATTCTTATTATTTATATTATTATTTTATTTTGATTTTAAAGCTTGAAGCATAGTAAATTATGTTTCAAGATTTAAATAATTATAGTCACCTAACGAAATAAATTTATGTTAACCCAATAATATTAATAAAAATTATAAACGAGCATAAACTATTGCCTCATGTGTGACAATATTATCCGCCGTGTATGACAATTTCTAAAAACCGACTACAATAACAATTAAACCTAAATAATAATAGTTTCCAAGGGATCAATCGCGATTACCTCACGCATATACTATTCAACTTTACACCGCCATGGAGACAACAACTGTTCATAATTGTGCAAAGACTACATATATCTTGCACAATATCTATGATCTTCATAATCATAGTTTCATTACTCTATGTAATCATATTTTCGTAATCATTTATTACACACAATTCACTAAAAATAGTCCTTTTTATTCGTATATACTTCAAAAAAATGTTCGATCTCTATGTATAAACAGGATTCAGATATATTTGCATTTCATTTCGATACAAACTAATTCAAAACGGTTATTCGTTTAAAATGCCTGTCACTTGAATGTGGATACGCATGTTTTGTATTCAATCACAAAACACCTCACTTTGAAGCTATATTTCACACAAGCCCAAACTCACCTTCTTTGAGTGTAAGTATAACAAGTATAACAAGAATATTTTACTTCTTATTCATTTTTATTTTATTTTGTTATTAATATATAAAAATAAATAGTTTTTAAATATTTTGAAATCATATTAATCGCATCTTAAGTTTACATAATTTATAATGAACTTACTGCATGATATAAATTCCAATGAAATAATAATAACTAGTCAATTATTAAAACAATGAACCCAAATTATCGAATTGTTTAGCAGTTGTTGTAAGATTCTGCTAACATGTTGTGTATGCTCAATATTTTTTATTTTTATGGCACAAAATAAACTGCAATGATCCATTCAAACCTTTAATTTCCTCCAAATCCATTTCTTCATGAATATTACTTTGATTATTTAATATTAATTAAAACTACGGCTGTATACAAATATTATTAGTATTCAAAGATATATATGCGTATATTCATATGCATATTTTATATTATAAATTATGTTTGTCTTGCACAATGCGTCTAGTATTAATATTTGATTTTAACTGATTTTTTTATCGACATACTTAATACAACATCACTGATTGTTATTCGATTTAGTTGTAACATAAAAAAACCTTCATGATCTAACTGAAACCACTAAATTTGTATCAATTTAGTGCAATACTTATCATGTATGGTGCGGCTAACAAATTTATAATTAGTCATACTATAGTAGGTACGCTCCGAACAATAAACGAAATACATACATACAGCAAGCGTACACCTCACAGATACTAACATAAAAAATGTTATAATATTGATCTACATAATTGGTTAAACATGTGTAATTAATAATATTAAATGAAGTCTCAAACTAACTACTCCTTGAGTGCCTGAAAATGTTAAATTGAAATGATAGGTGCAGATGGTATAAATATCATATTTGTGGATGTTTGAATATTATAGGAATATAATAATATTATTAAAATTTGAATTTTTATATTTCTCGCGTTTATTTTATATTTTTCTCAATTTACATTGTGATATAATGTAATCGAATAACATTCTAGTAATGTATTCGGATCCATAAACAATTAGTATGTGAAAAATTGTATTTTCGACTGTTGAACAACGGATTGCATTTCATAGATTAAGTTCTATATTTCGGCACTAACTTTTTGTCAAACTGATTACTGTATATAACATAATCTGATAGCTATACAATTCTGTATGGTATAATACTATTTCAAACCGTTTCCTTGTAGATTTTCTAGCTGTTAAAATTGAACACGATCAAGTTTCGATTATTTATGGAATCTATGTAAAAAAAGAAAAAAAATACCTGGTCAATAAACTTTGGTATTAATTTACATTATATACGTGTATAACTTTTCTTTTTACTTTTTTTTTCATTGATCTAAATTACTTTTTCGGCTGCTGTGGCCATAAGTTACTTGTGCTTTTTTTATAAAAATGGTTTTTATATAGTGTCTAAGTACTAAGTATTACATTAACTAAAAAATTAATAGAAAATATTTCTATACTTTATTCTGTATATTTGATCATGGAGTCTCACTCGAGCTAAGAGTATCATTTTTTTTATGAATAATTTTACTGTAAACTAGAAGATCTTTTACATGATCATCTATTCAGTATATAATATAATTAAGTATTTATTTGAATACTTATTGAATTGAAATGACAGATTATTGTATTATATAAAATGTATTAATGTATAAATAACAAATGTACGTTAGAAAATTCAACGAAACACCCGATTGGTAAAGTGGTTACAGAAAAATAATTCCCAAGTTTTTCAGATAGTAGATTAGTAAATTTTTTCTGAGTACTACGTGAGGTATAATACATTTGATATGTCTTCCTTATCCTCTTGGATTTTTGTGCTGCTACCTACTACCCGAAATTATTAATTCTAAAATTAAAATTTCTCTGAACATTTTATAAAATATTGACATAAAATGTAATATAGTACTAAAATCTTTATTGATTAAATTTGCTTTTCTTTTTTCTCTCGAGAAAGATCGAAAAGAATTTGCAAGGGTAACATTATTTTTATTATAAATTGATAATTTACATATCATAGGATATATAGATATATAGATTTATAAACTAAAATAATGTTATTAATATATTAATATTTTTTAATTTACATTTTCTTAAAGAGATAAAGCTACTACGTGTTTTTCTTTGTTTATAATATTATAAAATTGAATTAATTACCATAGAATAATACTAACGTGGTGTAAAACAACATAAAATAAGAGTATACATTTGTACTTATATTTAAACAAGACTAGTGATTAAAAGAAAAAATAGATTTAAAATAGTTTTATCCAGAATCTAAATCAAAATTCAATAATCTCTAGTAGCGTATTATGTTTGAATTCTTCGTATGATCGAAGATCGTGTGTTTGAAATCCGTTGGCATAAAATTATATTTGTTCTAAAGATCATATGTTCGAAAACAACACGCATAAAAATAAATTACATGGATTCCAACAATATTAAATAATAAAATAAAAATAAAGATTTTATTTTATTGCTATATCAAGTATCTTAAAAGCGACGTATATATATATATATACGTTAAATACGTGTATAAGTACATATAATTTTTAGATATGATATTTGTACATTAGTATAAAATTATATATATTATATTAAAATTTAATTTATGTAATAATATAATTCACGTCTAAAATGTTATAAACGTATATTTTTCAGTAATTTGTACATTCAGTTACATCAACCTGACGTCTTCTGTCAGTGTCGCATTCGTTTAAGGCTAAATAATTAAAAAATAAAAATGTGAAACTGAGAATACAAAAATAACTAATATTTAGTTACTTGACTAAGAATGCAGATTCTAATATTCTTAAATTCCTAGCATACATTTTAGCATACATTTTAAGTTCTTAATAATACATAAATATAATTTTTCAATTGTTTAGAATATATTATAAAAATATTTTATATTTATAATATTATATTGAAACATGTATCAACAAGTGATA